GGGGGGGGGGGGGGGGGGGGGAATAACGCCACCCCGCGGGGAATGAGAGTAACGAAGAGAACAAGGACGCTCAGCAAATACTTTCGATAGCAAGGCCGAGCACACCTGCGAGTCGCTGGCTGCTCCAGCCAGACTACCAGACAAAAATATTTAGTGAGAATCGTCTTGGATGTCGCCGGCAGCTGTCTTATACAGGCAAACCAAAAATGTCGTGCATGCCAAGACAAAGAGGTAGACGTTAGGACGGAGGTTGCAAGGAGCTCCGCATTCATACCCAAAGGTACAAGCGGACAAGAAAGTCAACAAGTGCGCCTGCGGATATGTAGTCTAGGAACACCGCCGTCTTTCGTGCTTGTAAGAATACACGCGTCTTCTTGGCTTCAAAGTACCGTACGCATAGCTTCCTGACAGAGGCAAGCGCCGTGTGTCGCTCAGAAGCACACGGAAATGGTAGTCTGCAAACGTAGGGCGAAAGGCCATGCGTGCATGTGCTGCAAATCGCTCATAATATCGAACTCACCAAACAGCTACGGCAACACGGAAAAAAAACGACACACGGAACACCTAGGGCAAGCGACAAGCGAACTACCCTCGTCCGTAGTATGCACTATAGTAGCATGATGCACTACTAAACTGATATACCCCGCAGCGCAACGCCTCGATCGGTCGCCTTCTGAGGGCACGAAGCAGTTCGAGGCTGAATGTCTTCAACGACGACGAGAGCGACGAGAGATTGACTCACGACATCAACACTTGGGAAACAAAGACGACCCCCTTCAAATACCCCACTTCTAATATGGTTTGACAACCAAGGCATGCACAACACGAGTACACCCTCCCTTCCAATTCCCAATATCCAGACTGCGTGACGTTAACGAAAACGAACAGAGGAAGCAAGCAGCCAAAAAAGCGCCACGCACAGGGGTAGAGGGCGCTTGCTCTGCCGTCAACGTAGGTGAACCACACGAGGGAACACCTACCGACCGGCCGATCGGCGGTGGGGGTGACGCATGCTCATCTTGTTCTTATCTCGTACACAACACATACCTGGAAGGCCACGCTCACGGGCCCCGTGTTTCCGACAGCCTCGAGAAGCTCGCGCTCGTCCTGGAAGGTGATGTTGACCGACCGCATCACGTCCGCCCCGATGCCTCGGTCGGCGAAAGAACACAAACCCGACTCCTCCGCCATGTAGGGGTAGGCCTACCCACAACGGAGTAGAAGAAAAGGGAACAACGCGTCGGAATCACCGTTCAAGAGAGAGAGAAGAGAACTTGATGAAATTGAACTCCTTGTTCCTCACGAACAGAAAACGGTGCATAGGCCTTCGCTACTAGTACCAGCAACCAATGTGGCAGAATGTTTTCACCGAGGCTTGGCGATGTGGTCCACGGAGTTAGCTACTTGGGGAGAGGGGTACGTCCAAGGACGCGCTTTCCGACTCCTCCTCCGGAGTAGCTGCTACATCAACAGCGTGCAGAAAACCTTTTCTCAATCACCAAGAGGCAGCGCGACTGATCAAGCCCCAAAACAAAATAGAATGACGCCTCATTCATTGTCCCATCGTCGCGCGTACAGCAGTCCCGCTGCGTACTGTACGAGACTGACTACTCTCATTCTGTACGCCGGCTACTTCGCGCGCTCGATGCTAACAACAGAACACGCCCACGCGCAAGCAACCCCACGCGCAAGCAAGCCCACGCGCACGCATGGACGCACGCACGCACGTACCTCCTCTGTGTCGAGCCCTCCCGCGCTGGCGATGTACTCGAACGCGTGGGACGGCAGGCCGCCGTTGCAGCCGTGGTTATCGTAGGCCCCGGCGCAGTCCAACAGCTGCTGCTCGGAGAGGAGGACCATCTCCCCGGTCCTGTTGGATTGATTCGGTTCGGTTGGATTCGGTTAGTTTGGGTTGGGTTGGTTTGGTGTATGACGCGCACAACACAGGAGAGGAGAGAAGACAGGAACGGTACATGCCCGTAAGGAAGAGCGCGAGGGAGGGCGGGTACGAATGGTCGCCACAATGATGCGGATTTTATATTTTTCAAGGTTCAGCTGTGAGAGCTTGCTCGCGCATGAGACCGTTTGTTTATGCGTGCGTGTACGGTTTCTGCAACCCATCAGTTTGTTCTTGTCGGGCAGTGCAAAACAAACATTCCGCGTTTCCTTCCTCCTGCGTGACCCCGACTGGCAGGTATGACGTGTCGAACCACGATCATGTCAAAACACCGTCACCAAATTACACAACTGGACACAAGGTTATCATGTACAACGGCGGCGAGTGTTGGTGTGTACTGGTACGGTACACGTTTCGGGCGAAGCGAGCACGCGTGCTAGAGTGTACTTCAAGCACATGATGCCACTGGTGGGAGGGAGGCCTGATGTACCATGTGTATGTGCTGTGTACGTAGTGAACTCTTTCATCTGTTTCATCATCGCGCGCCCTATCCGTTGCACTCGGCATCGATCGCTGTGCATTAGAAACACAACACATTAAAATGTGCGACAGCAGAAATGAACAACGAAAGCAAACACAGTGCACGACCACTTCGCTCTCCTTCCTCCACCCGTCGAAACGGACACCGCGACCTATTCTTGAAACTGCCCGCAAAGCACTAAACATCAGCACTATCTCCACCACTCGCAAATCATCAGCACTACAACAACAACAACAACAACAACGACAACAACAACAACCATCACCACCACCGCTACAGCAGAGCAATAAATCTCTCACCGCAGGTAGTGGTGAGACTCAAGACAGCCCGTGGTGCTGAAGGTCCAGCAAGACCCGCAGTGGTCCTGGTTCTTCACCACCGACACCGCTCCGAGGTCTCTCCAGTCGCGCGCGGCGGGCGGGGCTCGGCCCTTGCTCAGGCCGAGGGCGCGGTACTGGCTGCCGACGTGGGTCGCCGAGCAGTTCTGGCTCGCGCTCAGGGCGCTGCCGAAGCCCAGGCGGGTCGCCTGGAACTCCTCCCTGTAGCGTTTCGTGTTCGGTGTGTGTTTTTCCCCCGTGAGAAAAAGATAAGGCTGACATGATAGATTCATGGCATCGTGTTGGTGTGTGTTAATGCCTCATGAGAAGAAACACCGGTTGAAAATTGGAACACAGATCTAGCTAGGAGCGAAGCAACGGTTAGGGCGGAATGAGTCTCGATTTTGGCTTTATGAAATGATGGCATATTATAGATGTAGTAAATAGAAGCGAACCCGTTCAGCCGTGAGTAGCAACATGCTGATCTGGTACACATCCTCTGCTACGCATAAGTAGCGGAGCTTCATAGTAAAACAAGGCAACTATAAGCGCTGCACCCCTTGGCATGGAGGGGGGAACTGCCATTCAGAAGGAAAGGCGCGAGGTATTTGTTGTCACAACTGCCGACGCAATTCTTCACCCCGATAAACAAGCCGCAAACCCACACGCCAAACCAACACACACACGAAGCGCCGACTCCCGTCACACACGCGCACGCACCAGGTCATGTCCGAGAACCGGTTCAGCCCGAGGGAGTAGCTGCGGGGGGTTACCGCGTCGTCGGCAACCTGGCGCAGGTTGTCTCGGAACACGCCCATGCGTTCCCTCTCCTCCTCCTCGTCCGCGTACGTCACACCGTGCTTCTCCTTCCATTCACGAAACAGCGCATTTTCTCGCTCCTGTGCCCGTTTCGATAAGACAGACGTGTGGCACGTCGGAGGAAAGCGGCCAGCAGCGGCGCCTCGTATTTTAGTAGGGAAACCCGGCAAAGCCGTCAATGCCTACGCAGCATCGCCGTGGTGAAATGATACACACTGGGGCCCCCCGCAGAACATAATTAGAGGTGCCACGGGGGAGGGCCGCGCTGTGCCGGTGGAGCGCCCCTGGAATCGATTAGTGGTACCAAACCATACCGCCAACAAGAAGAAACGGGCTGTGCTCTGCATATAAGCGAGACAAAACACCGCATGAAGACCGTTGCCGCCTGTGCCTGGTACGGCTAACCCCCACCTCCTGTCCCAGCGTGGCGGCGGTGCCATCCTCATCCTCATCCTCGTTGTTGTCACAGTTGAACACCACCTTCGGCAGTTTCTGATTATTACGCGTGCACGAACAGTCAGCGGATGTGTGTGTGTGGGAGGGACCGTAAATGTTTACAGGGGACTTGGTGGCGTGTGGCAACTATTGGAAGCGAACGCACGCACACGAATCGGGTCCTGCGCTCCACACAACACTATCGTAGACGATGATACGCGAGTGGCACGAGCAACGAGCAAGCGAGAACAGAGAACAGTGTGAAAAAAAAATACGGGAGCTGGAATGTCGATATACAGATAACCATGGGGGGGAAGAGGGACTCGTGCCAGGAGGCGACATGCCGTTCAGACCTAGAAAGCGTCGCTTGCATGCTGTTACGCGAGTATCGGGCGGCGGCGCATAATAGCAGACGGTGTGATACAACAAAAACTGGCGCAGAGCAAAATAAAAGAGAAAGGCGAAAAAATCATCTAATGACGCCAGCCAGCATGCTCCCTCCGCCGTGGCCTACCACCTACAAATGTTCGTGGATTGGGAAAACAGGCCCCCAACTGTTCCGGCACGGCTACAACAGACACACACGGTCTCTGGCCTGGCGGTCGCCCTGATTGATCTCCGGAGACCGCTGCCTGAAAACGACAACATGGACGTCTCCACACCAACACGATCGCAGCGATTTCACACCAAGCAATTTTCGATGGCAAAGGGTTTCAAGCGCGTGCCGGAACACGGACAATGTACCGGAAGCGCCAACCGCAGGGCTATCTTGCTGCTTGCTGACAAGCAACCCAACTCTACGGCGCTGAAAAAGAAAAATAGAAGCTCTTTGCCACCCACCCACTTGCATGATGTATCCAAACGAAGTTTCAGGAAGGGTATGTAGGCCAACGGACTACGCCAACAGGGACAGGATCCGAAAGCGACAAGCCGTGCGGCCCCGGTGCCGCCGATAAACAGGGGATCCACTTACAGGCGATGAGGCCACTACCGCCGTGGTTACGAGGACCAAGAGGGCAAGCTTTTCGTGTCCCAAGACCACTTTCGAGTTCTTGAACAAGTACAGCATCAGAACCTTCAATTCTGGGGCGTGGACGCTGGCACCCAGGCGTTCGACAAGCTTGCATCGGTTTGTCGAACGACTGGGTGCTCATCGTCCACGCCCCCGCCACTGGAGGTTCTGATGCTCAACTCCTTCAAGAACTCCGCCGTGGTCTTCGACACAAAAAAGCTTGTTCTTGTCGTCACCACGCCGCCGTACGGCTCGGCTGTGCTGCATGAAAGCCGCGATGGCAGCGCGTCCATCGATCAGCCCGCCGCCTCTGCTGGGTGCCCTCCTTGCCGGCCGTGCCGCGAGGGACACCTAAGACAACTGCCCGGTGCGAGGTGGACCCTCGACGCCGTTGTCAAGTCGCTGCTGAGCTTGTTGAACAAGGCGACTACGGCATTCCTCGTAACGAGATCTCAGAACGACCACGGCCTCCCTTCCCCTTCGTGTCACGGATGTAATGTGATCCGCACCTCCTCAAACTTAACACCGCCTGGAACACATAACCTCACCTTCGCGATCGCTGCGGGCACGCACTCCGAGGGTACAGACTGACACGTGCACCAGACGCACGTCGTTCCGCCCTCGTCCACGGAAGACCTGCACTCCTCCGCGGTGGTAGCGCTCACGCACCACTCCCCCAGATCACCGCCGGTCACGTCGACTTCTTCCTGCCCGACGGGCCTATCCTTCATCGCGGCCTTGTGTTCTTCGAACAGCTTCT